GTGTTCTTATCTGAATGCACCAGAGGGACAGAGGGCCGGGCTTTGCTTAGCCCCGCAGGCGATAGATCATGTTGAAGGTGCATGGCTGACCTACTTGGGTACATGCTGATCTTAGTGTACCGGCCAGTCTGTAATTTACCCTCAAACAGCAGAGGGCAAGCCTCCTCGCCCTTCAATGCGTGAAGTTGTTCTGGCGATGTGCTGATTTCTTTTCTTCCTCTTCTTAATTGCTGCAAGTAGCTTGCTTAGCTCAGGAACAACAGAAGAGAACAAAGAAAATGACCTCAGACCTTCCTTACCTCCTTCTTATGCTGCAACTGTAGCAAGACCCAGCACGTCTGCAGCCTCCACCGTGCCAGGTGAGCAGCCGGGGGCCCTACGGGGCTGCCTTCTGCCTTCTCCCTACAGTGCTATCTCGGGGTGAGCACTCTCCTTGGTTATCTCCTGACTGTGAGACCTAGTCAGTGCCTTCAACCTCAGCACCCTAATACTAGAGGTTTGCCATCCTTTCTTTCTTCCCTCTCTTTCTTTCCTTCCTTCCTTCCTTCCTTCCTTCCTTCCTTCCTTCCTTCCTTCCTTCCCTCCCTCTTTCCTTCCTCTCTCCCTTCCTCACTTTCTCCCTTCCTTTTTCCCTCCCTCCCTCCCTTCCTTCCTTCCTTCCTTCCTTCCTTCCTTCCTTCCTTCCTTCCTTCCTTCGTCTTTCCCTCCCTTTCTCACTCTCTCTCACTCACTTACTCACTCACTCTCACTCTCACTCTCTCTTCTTCTTTAAGATAAGGTCTCACTGTGTAGACCAGTCTGGCCTCGAACTTACAAAGATCCATCTGCCTGTGCCTCCCTGTGCTGAGACTAAAGGCACAAAATAAGCAATTAATAATAAACAACTTCTTGAAGAATTCCAAAGAGCTGGAGTTTCTGATGGGAGGTGGTGAGACCTGTCCCTGTCTCTCGGTGTGTGGGGACTGGATTGTGAGAGGACTTCGCCTCACCTTCAGCCATCCCTCTATTGGGAGTCAGAGATGCGTCCACTCTTGCTTCCATTCCCCCTTTTTCTCAGGTCCTGGCCCTCCAGCACCCATCACGGGGGGTGCCACCTGTTTCATTTCTCACTCTTCCTCCAGGTTACTCTGAGGATGGCGGTGCGCTCCGAGGAGAAGTTATTCCGGAACACGAGTTTGCAACGGGACCAGTGTGTCTTGACGATGAAAATGAGTTTCCCCCTGTGAGCATTCGGAACCCTTAACGGAGTTACTCTGTCTGTGTGGAAGGAAGCTTTGCCTCCCAAAAGAGGCCAAGTCACTGCCCTTCGCTCTAGCTCCTAACCTCTAATCCTCTTTAAAATGCTCAGAGCCCTAGGGCACCCACTTCGCAGTTTCAGAACCTTTAGGCTAGCCAGTTGGTGTGGTGCTTGAAGCCTGACAGCATTACCATAACCAAATACTAACCTGGAGAGTGGGGGTCCCTCAGTCACCAGAGACCTAGATCCTCTGCCTCTCTGCACACTCTGCCTTAGCTGCTTGTGAGTTTCTGCCTGTGTCTGGTTTTCTGAAGTAAGGCTGCCCATTGCCTGTTATGATGAGTTAATGGGGCTAGGTCACGTTTGGGACTCTGAACTGGCTGCAGGAGCTGACCTCACCCTGCCTGCAGCTCTGGCTTGAGCCTCCGCAGCAGCGGCAGGCGCTCACAGGAAACGACAGGAGCAAAGCCGGTGTGGGTGGCATGAGCTCACCTGGCCGCCTCCAGCAAGGCTTCTCAGCATCCTACTTCAGCTTGCTGGCAGTGAGAGAAGCCAGGGATGGCTGAGCACTGGCCTTGGCTTCCGCTGACAGCGGGAGGAAAGATTCTCTCCCCCGGCACGGGGAGCTGTGGGGACCTCCTCAGCCCTCACATCTTGAGTGTAGCACGGGCTGTGCACCCTCCTGTAAGCTTCAGCTAGAAAACCTCCTGGTGCCTAGGGATGTGGCTCAGTGGTAGGCAACCTGCCTAGCACACACCAAGCCCCATGTTCGGTTCTGCAGCGAATTGAGCAAGTGGTGCAATCCTTGAATTCCCATACTTGGGAGGTGGAGACAGGAGGATTCGATAGTTATCTTATCTACGCAGTGAGCTCAAGGCCAGCCTGGGCTACATGAGGCCTTGTCTCAAAAAGAAAAAAAAAAAATCCAAGATAGTCCACTTGAAATCATTTCCTATGTATACAGTGCCATGGCAGGACATGAGGAATAGAAAGGAGTGGTTCTGTGGGCTCTCAAGTGGGTGAGGCCCCTTTTTGTGTGTGAAAAGGAGGCATCTGTGACTTCCATGATGGCTTTGTAGATTGCAGTTTGAAATTTACATTTTTGGACTTTCATAGGCAAGTTGCCAAATACATTGCCAGCAAGTAACAGTTATATATTAATGGTGGAAAGAAGCAGTTCTTTAAAAAACAAACTAATTATGCATTTTAAGACAGCCCTTGGCCTACTGCCTACTGTTGCTGCCTAAGCCAGGAGTGCCTTTGGGCTCTCGTGATGCTGACTAGAACTATAGGGAGTTTTCCATCTTCTGAAAGTAGTGGTGATTTAACTCTTTAACTGGCATTACATCTTCCGGGAACCAGAGCACTCTGGGCTGGACAGTGGGTACAAACATGGCCAGAGCATCATATTCTGTGAAGGTTAGATGCACGCTCAGTCCTGCTTTGGCATTTGGGTAAAAATCTGACGCTGCTGTGGGAGACAGACACATGGCGGGCTGAGAGCCTTCACTGTAATCAGAGCAGACCCGGCAACCTCCTGTGTTTACAGAACTAGAGTAATTTGAACATTGGCATGTAGGAGGTTGCTCCTTGCTAGAGAAAACCCATATAAAATAATAACCCCAAGCAAGCCATCTTCCTGGAGGGGAGGAGAATCAGAGACGCTTAATTTAAGAAGCAGTGTTGACAGGTATGGATTAATGATGGTGTATTTGCCTGGCATGTAGGAGTCTCTGAGTTCCATGCTTTGCAAATCTCTCTCCCCACCACCCTTCTCCTTCCCTTCCTTCCTCTTTCCCTTCCTCCCTCCCTCTTCCCCGCCTTTCTCTCTCTCACACACACATCCAAAAATACTAATGTTTAAATGTGTCGTGCCATGAAGCATGCTCACCCAAACACTGCCAGGAAGCCAGGTACACGCCAGTTTTCCCGACTCTCTCTTTAGGAGCAGATTTGTGAAAGCTGACTTAAACTGCATTTAGAACTTGTCTGGGTAGGGATGAGGCTAGCTCAGTAGGCAATGGGCACTGGTTCCCATTCCTAGCCTCCAAAGGGAATTCTCCCTGCCAGTAAGTGTTTGTCACCAAACAAGTTCCTAGGATTGTTAGAGTCCAGCTAGGGTGCGGCAGTCTCTGGGTGGGCGCCCACAGGTGCTAGGTGTCGTGGTGGCCACCAGGCTTAGCCTGCCGCACGGCCTGCAGGTGGCTGGAGGAGACAGTGTCCAGCCTGAGGTCTCGGGTCAGCAGTGCAGGCTTCCCTGTCTCCAGGCACACGGACCAGAGGCGAGAGTAGTGCTGGGTAGCGTTCAGTGCGGCCATCTCAGTTATGTCCCGGTAGCTTAGGTGTGGTCTGGGCTGGCAAGAAAGCCCCTCTCACTGCCGTTGTTCTGAATCGCACGCCTCTTGCCAGTGCCTCCCAGGAAGTGTAACTTCGCTCACAGTTTTCTAAAAAGCCTCTGAGATTACAAAAGGATCTGGGGGGTCTCCACTTAGCTGCCACCCTCCCCTTTTGGAGTCAGCCTTGGGCTTCTGGGCCCTGCTCTAGGCCACGAGTCATCACTAGTTTCCTTTACAAAGTAGACTGCCAGTGCCCTCCCACCACCGCTCTCCTCTCTGGGGCTGACTTCGCCTCAAGACCAGCAAGAAAAGCAAGCTCATCATCCCTGGTCCCCTGGGAAGAGGCTTTGAGGAGGGCCACGCTTCGGCTTCTGTGGCAAGCCAGTCTGCAGTCCGTGTGCTCTGTGACACCAATCTTATGTTGTGGGCAAGAGAACAGCCAGCTCGGACCAAGAACATATACTGACTTTTTGTGTTTTCTTTGCAGTCATTCAGCAGTCAGTGTTTACAAGTAAGATGAGCCTTTCAAGAAAATGCACACACACACACACACACACACACACACACATACAAGCACACGCGTGCACACATGCAGTTTGTAAACAGTATCGTTGGGATCTGTGCCACAGTTGTCCACACCTACATAACATGGGTGGATTTTCCCATGGCCATGAGTGAGAGTCAGTCTGCGGTTACACACATAAGTTTCCTCCCCTGCTGACCCCCCTAGCACAGACCCCAGGGTAACCCAGACTGCCTCCCCGCAGCCTCTCCCGAGAAGAGTAAGGCCATTTTGTTTTGATTTTGGTAGATAATCTTGTGCCGTGGAAGTCAGAAGGGCAAAACGAAGCAGTCCTGACAAGAAGCCCACGTCAGAAGTCAGGACAACCCCTGTCAGGTGGTTTTGGAGAGAACAAGGAAAGTGGAAGAGACGAGTGCAATCAATTGTGTAAGCAGAGAGGGGAGGGAAGCAGGAACCCTGGGTGCCTCGCTGCCTGAGCCATAGACCCTGGTCAAACCCCCACCCAGCCCCTCAGTCTGGGCTGCCAGTGGGCGAGGAGAACATTGGAGTCATGTCGTGCTATTTAAAATACCGTCAAACCACAGTGTAAATGCTAACTAACCATATTGGTACATAACCGGAATTTTATATTAAAAAGGGCGTCCTTGTCAAATGTATGCTGTGTAAAAAAAAAAAAAAATGTACTTAGTGGGAAATCTCTTTAAATTGTGTTTCTTGTACATTACAGACATATACAGAGAGAGACTATTTTAGCCAGGCAAAGTATTTTTGCAGTGATTGAAATAAATCATTTATTACCTTTGAGTCCCACTCAGGACACTAATTAAATAAAATCATGGTGATGCATTTGTGAGTTGTTTACATTTTTATTTCAACCCTTGGAAGTTTTAGCAGCCAGGAAGAGATCCTAAATCTGTAGTGGAAGTTTTGGTTTCTTTAAAAACTCAGTTATGTTATGTTTAAAAATAAATAAATAAATAAATAAGGACGCTTCGAGGAAAAAGTCCGAGAAAGAAGGCAGCTGCTCCTGTGCTGTTGCTGGTTCATCCTTCTGCTGTGTCTACTGGTGCTGGTTTGCTGGACCACGAGATATCCTGACGGCTGGGGTTAATACTGCCCCCAGAGCCCGACGACCCTGACCAGCCGGAAGTAGCCAAAGAGAACTCCACCCCCTCTCTCCACTAACCTTCTTTCTCTCCTACCCAGTGTTGGGGTGTTGGACACTATTAGCAGGGATAAGGGGTGGAGAAGGGAGGTAGAGACATAAGAAACCCCAAAAAATAGATTTAAAAGGGCACAACATAAATCTTTTTTTAAAGATTTTTTTTTTAAAAAAATCAATGAGTATTTTACCTGCATGTATGTGCCTCACGTGCGTGCCTGGCATCCTCAGAGGCCAGAAGGGAGATTCAGGTCCCCTAGAACCGGAGTTACAGACGGCTTTAGATACCATGTTGGTGTTGGGAACTGAACCCAGGTTCAGTGCTCTTAACTGATGGACCATCACTTCAGCCCCAAATTCTTCAATCTTTAGAATACACCCATTTGACAAGGACTGTGGGATCTAGTCCAAGCCCTGGGAAGGCCTAACTTGGGGTCACTCTATGCCTCTCAAGGCATCGCAAAGGAACCAGGCTCCCAAACTCCCCTCCAGCTCTTCAGAGCGAGATCCTGCATGCTATAAGACCCCTGGTGATTTATATGCATTCTGAAGCTGGCCAAGCTCTGCCTACCAGCCAGCCAGAATGAGTTTGTGCTAGAATGGCCAAGGAAACTGAGGCCATGAGACAGAAACTAAAATATTAAGGATCTGCTTGGTGTCGGGGATGCGAGGGCAGCTTCGTGTGTTGCTTTAGCCTTCAAAATCAACTCGTAATTGAGATTTAAGTCATTGCCAAAGCTCCATAGCAAGGTACCCGTGAGCAATGCTTCTTGACCACATGCAGAGGAGGCAATCTGCTTAGAGAAAACCAAATTCTGCAACTTCCCTTCTTTTAAAAAGTGGATGTCCATGGCCAAACTGAAGTTTGGAAGTGAACCCACCTGCCCCTAATTCCCAGGTAGCCTGTCTCGTGGGGAAAATAAAAATGACCTGTCACGCTGTTTGGCAACGGCAGGCAATTTTGTAGAGGTCACAGCAGGGAGTTGCCGAAGGATCCTGAGCGTAGTCTGCTCGGGAGCTGTTGTCGGCAGCAATGTCTCCCAGGACCTCTGCAAGAAGCTGGGTGACCTCCGGCAGCACCGCCCGGTACTCGGGGCTTCCTCTCTGCAGAGGCACAGCTTCAGCAGCATCGTCCTCTAGGTTGAAAATGAGAGGGAAAGCGTGGTGCTGTTCAGGACCCGTGCTCCCATCACAAGCTTTGGCTCCACCTACAGGACGGATGACCAAAAAGGTTAAAGTCAACCTTCACCCTGGGCTGCAAAGGAGGACATCCGTGGTTGATTACTCCTTAAAAGCACCAACCCTAGAAACTCAAGTAATTGCTCTCCCTGCCAAATAAAAGACCTTGAGATTCAAGTCTGTCTTTCCGGGGGAATTAGGTCTACCCCCTAGACTAGCCTTCAGAAGATTTATTTATTTATTTTATGTAGATGAGTACTCTATCTGCATGTATACCTGCATGCCACAAGAGGGCACCACATTACATTATTGATAGTTGTGAGCACCATGTGGTTTCAGGAAATTGAACTCAGGACCTCTGGAGTGCTCTTAACCTCACAGGCATCTCTCCAGCACCCCCTGGGCTTGCCTTCAGAACCAGTGGACATCTGTCCAAATACCTTTCATCTCTAGCCTTTGAGAGTAAATCTCACGGGCTATTTTGGTTTGGGGGGTTTTGTTCGTTTGTTTGTTTAGTTTTGTAATGGGGCGGGAGAATGGCATACACATGGAGGTCAGGAGACAACCTTGTGGAATCCTTTCCTTCCACTATGATCAAAGCCTCCATCAGGATTTTCCTCTTATGGCAGACACTGGGGTTCAGCAGAGACTGGGAATTACCACCTTTGTCTAGAGTTCACAAAATTTTGACTCTTTATCACCAGCAAGGAGCACTAGAAGTGACACAAGGCTTTAATCTCATCATTTGGGAGGCAGAGGCAGGCAGATCTCTGTGACTTCAAATCCAGAAGTAGAGACAGGAAGATGAGCAGTTCAAGACCAGCCGTGGCTACAAAGTGAATGGAGGCCAGCCTGAGCTACATGAGACCTCATCTTAAAAACAATTTAGAAAACAGTAACAACAGGCACAGGATGGGTGGATGTAAAAATTGCTACATGAAACAAAAAACAGAGTCTGACATCCAGAACCCACATAAAGAATGCTACAAAGTTGTCCACTGGGCTCTATATGTATACCATGATACACATAGACCTGCAAATATACATCACACACAGTCATAATAAACCTCTCTTAAGGAAAGAGAATGGTGGTGTGCTTTGAACTACCCTCTTCTAGCTGGCAAAATGAGATCTAGGCAACACATTTTAGCAAATCACTAAAAGCACTATAGTGGAATAAGCAAGACAGGGAAAGATTGGAAGGGACTCGACCCTGCAAAGAAGAAAGCCACTGGGTTGGACCTGGTCCAAGGTCTCCCCCTGGAGATGCCACACAAGCAGTGTGGAGCAGGCAGAATCCCTGAGGAAAGCTGTGGTGGCTTAAGGTGTCAGAGTTTGAGATCACCATGAATGATGAAAACCGACAGGTGAAATCCTAAGAGGAAGAGAGCCATGGAGTACAAGCCTCAGTCTTTAATATGAACTCCTGAAAATCCTTGGCTGACCCCTGAAAAGAATGTCTGTGAGAGAGACAGAGAGAGAGAGAGAGAGGAGAGAGAGCAAAAAAACAAGAGAGTAAGAGAGCAAGAGAGAGAGAAAGCAAGAGAGCAAAGAGAGAGAGAGCAAGAGAGAACAAGAGTGAGAGAGGGTGAGCGAATGAGAGAGAGTGAAAGGGAGAGAGAGAGAGAGAGAGAGCCCTTTAGCAGCTGGAAGACCAAAATAGAAGGCACTTCTGTGGCTGCCTGCCACAGAAGAAAATGTTTGCAGTCTGAGTACTGTTAAATGAGAGAAATGAGCCAGGCATAGCGGTGCAAGTGTACAACCCCAACACTCAGAGATCAAGAGGTCCAGGCCAATTTGGCCTAAGCAGTTCAAGACAACCCTGGACTACAAAGCAAGACCCTCTTTCAAGACAGAGAGAGAGGAAAAAAAAAAAAAACCTTAGATATGAAAAGACAAAACAAAATAAAAAATCCTCCTCTTATTTGTTGACATCCCTGCAAAGTTCAGGTGAGGAAGAGCAATCAAAGCCTAGGAGTTAGTGACTTTTCTAAACTAAAGAAAAAAAAAAAACGTAAAAGGCAAAAAAAAAATCCTAAGGGTATAGAATAAGCCCTGCCCAAGTTCAAGGGAACACACTGTAACTGACTTCCCATGAGCGTCAGAAGCCAGTCCAGCGTTCTCCAACCAGGCCAGGGCACAGTCTTTAAATGGCTGCACAGGAGGTTGCTGGCTGCAGCTACAGCACAAGAGCAGCGTGGAAGCCACCAGGCCATGCAATAGCAGGAGGAAAACTCAACCTACTGAGAAACGAGCAGTTCCCGTTAGCTCTGAGAAGTATACAAACGGGGGGCAAACCCCTGCCCGATGTTGAAGAGGTGGTGAGCGGAGGGAGCTGTGCTCTACCACAGCAGAGACCCTCTGCTGGAACGGTACGGGGTGGGAGCAAGGGCTCCTTGCTGGAGCTGCGAGAGAAAAGGCCCAGCGAGTCGGTACCCATGCTTGGCAGATGTTGTTGCTCTCCCCCCCCCCCCCCCCCCCCCCGCCACTGGGGCTGTGGACGAGCCCCACCGAAAGCACCATACCAGGAAGCTGTGTCTTTAAGCGTACGCCTCCTTTTTGTGTGTGAATTTTAGCTCCAGGCAGGTCTCATAGTAAATGCTATAGTAAAATCCCACTGTTCAGGAGCAGGAGAGGAAAACTAACATTTTAAAATACAACAGTCGGGGACACTAGAGAGATGGCTCAGTGGTTGAGAGCCCATCCTGCTCTTACAGAAGACTAAAGTTCAGTTCCCAGCACCCATTAACTCCCAGCACCTTCACTGTCGGCTTATAACCGCCTGTAACTCCAGCTCCACAGAGATATGATACCTCTGGCTTCCACGGGTACCTGCTTGCTCTCTCTCTAAAATAATAAAAAATAAACATTTAACCAAATGCAACAGTGGCAGCTAGAGAGATGGCTCAGAATTAAGCTGGACTCTTACCAAAAATCACATACAAAGGTTAACCTTAAATGGCTCCAACATCTAAATGTAAGACCCCAAACAATACAAACCTTTCGAAGAAAACACAGGGCGAACACTGGCAATAACAAAGAGTTTCACAGGTAAATTCAATCCATCAAGAAAAGAGCAGCACCAATCTCAGAAAGCCCTTTTAAGAAAACAGAGACTTCTCCCGAACTTGTTTCATACGACCAGAAAAATTCTTATGACAAAACTTGACACACGCTTTCCAAGAAAGGAAATTATAAGCAAAATCCTAGCAAAGCAAACCCAGTAATCTATGTGTGTATTAGATGTGAACATATATGCTTACATATACACAGTACCATGACTAAGTGGGTTTATTTAGGAATATAGAGCTGGCATAGCTGGAAACCAGCCAATATTAATTGTATTCACTAGCTTTTTTGCTGCTGTGACAAGGTTGAGATAAACAACTTAATGAGGAAAGATTTATACTGGCTCATGTTTTCAGAGGTTTTGGTCCACAGTCAGCTGGCTTCCTGGCTCTTGGATTGTGTGAGGCCAAAGCATCAAAGGCAAGCTGCTTACCTAATCACTATGGACAAGAAAGGCAAGACACACCCTTTTAAAGGCACAGCCACAATGACCTTCTTCCAAACTGGTCCTGCGTCCTAAGAGCCTATTGTGCAGGGAACTCATCAATGAGTTAATGCCCAGGAGAAGTGAGCATTGTCATGATCTAAGCATCTTCCAAAAGTCCCACCTCAAACACCGCCTACCCCGAGGTCAAGCATCCAACACGTGAGCTTTCTGGGAGCTACACTTCGTATCCATGACACCAACTCACCGCGTTACGGAGTGTGTGCCCAGGTGCGCACACTGAAGGGTACATCTGTCGCCACGTATAAAATCTGCCCTATTTTATATCCTCATGCATTTGTGTGTGTGTGCATGTGAGTGCGCGCCTGCTGTGTGTATCAACATGCGTGGGGTGGTGAGGGGGTAAACATGTGCCGCAGGACACATGTGGAGGTCGGAGGACGACTTGTGGGAGTTGGTTCTCTCCTTCCGTCATGTGGGCCTCATGGATTGAACTCAGCTCACCAAACCTGTCAGCAAACAGCTTTACCCAGCATCATCTGGGCTGGCCTTTAATTACTCTAAAAGTGGCAACAGGGTAGCTATCAAGTTGTCTCAGTGGGCACAATGCTTGGCACAAAAGTGTGAGGAGCAGGATTCAGACTGCCAGTGCCCACATAAATAATGGGCAGGTGTGAAAGCCCACCTGTAGTCCCAGCACTCAGGACTCAGGGGACCTCCAGAGCCAGCTGGCCAGGCTAGCACAATCAGTGAGGTCTGGATTCACCTGGGAAACCTTGCCTCACTGTGTAAGATGGAAAGTGGCCAAGGAGGAAGCCTGGCATCAAACCTCAGGCCTCCATTAGTCTATACACACACACACACACACACACACACACACACACACACACTACACCACACACGTACATGCTTTAAAAAAAGAAAGATAATTTTTGTAAAAAGGGGGGGGGTGGGATAGGGAGGGAAAACAATGAAGGCCCCCGGTTCTAGGCCACACCAAAATACTGGTTACATTTCCAGGCCAGTCCAGTTCATGATCAAAGCATCGTCATAGAACATACTGTTCTCCATCCTAATGAAGCAGGTGCCCATGCATCTGCCTTTCCCAAATTCGGTTCTAGGTAATCAGGAAGCAACGTTTTTAAAAAGTGCCAGGAGGACACGGAACATGGCAGCGGCACCTCACGCTGTTTGCTGTTTTCCTCAGATATCCCGAGAGCTCACTGGTCCCCTCCCCTGGCCCTCCTTCTTGGGTTGTAATTTCTGTCCGATTGTGCTCACTTTACACAGCCCTATTACTTCATGGCGAGGTTTACGATCCCAGCGTTGCGGTGCCAAGGGCCTCTGGCAGGGCTCTCCCTGCAGGAAATCAGTTCAGCCTGGAAGGCCCATGCCTCTGAGATAATGTAATGTAAGGACTCTGAGACCACAGCAAAGATCTGAGTGTTTTGTTTGAGGCTTAGGGACCAAAGATTCTTGTAGCATTTCTAAGATCTCTGGAGCTTTGAACTCAAAGGGCTTGCTCTAGTTTTGCAACCACATTTTATGCTCAGGAAATAAATTTTGTGGGTTTTTTAAAAAATTATATAATTCTTTGAAAATCTCCACTGTGAAATAACTAAAGAAAACTGAAATCTCCATCAAGTCCTACCCAGTCACATCTTGCCTCTATTTTTGTTTTGTTTTGTTTTTCATTGATAAGTTTCAAAATGTTAGTGCTTCAACTAAGAGCAAAATACTGGGACACGCATTTCAACATAAGAGTTTAATGTTTTTAATTTCGATTTTATTTGTGTGTGCGTGTGTGTGTGTGTGTGTGTGTGTACCTATGCCTGTCTAAACTCAGGTCGGCAGGCCTGGTGGCAAGTTCCTTTACCCACTGCACTAGTTGGTTTTTCACCAGCTTGACCCTAGAGTCATTTGGAAAGAGAAACGTCAATTAAAAAAAAAAAAAAAAGCCTCCAGAGGATTGACCTGTTGACCTGTTGGCAAGTCTTTGCGGGCATTTTCTTGATTCATATGGACTTGACCATCCCACTGGGGACGGTGCTCCCCAGGGCAGGAGGTCCTGGGTGGCTTAAGGAAGCAAACTAAGCAAGGCACAGAGTTTAAGTCAGCTGGCAACATTCCTCCACGTCCTCAGCCTCAGTTCCTGTCTTGAGTTCCTGTCCCGACTCCCCTCCCTGATGCACTGATGTGGGACGTAAAATCAGCAAACCCTTCTCTTCCGAAGTTGCTTTTGATAGCGGTCTTTATCACAGCGATAGAAAGCAAACTGGAACGCCCACTAGGCCACCTCACCAACCCCAGTATGATGTTTCTATGATATACTCTTGGTTTTTAAGGCCCAGTCGTGGAGCCGACCAAGGATGGCAAGCCAAATCAATGACACTTTTAAAGGTCTCTGAGCTCCTATTTCATCAGCAGCCAAACTGGCATTTAAAGGCTAACCTGGAGCAAAATGTTCTCTGTGTGAAGAGAGGTGAGGAAGAAGAGGCCCAGCCCCAGGGCCTGCTGCAGAACGCCTTTGCGGGGCCCTTCTGTCAAGCCCCAGTTTGGCTGACATAGTCAGGGGTGCACGATGTGAGGCCCTCAAAGAAGAGAGCCACACCCACCCTCCCAGGGAACCCCCGAGGTACACACATGGGCGGTAGGGTGAGAGGCTCCACTTACCAGTGATGTAGAAGGCCTTGTGATGGTCCAGGCGGACAGTCTGCAGAGCTCCATACTCCCCGGCAGCCCCACTGTTGGGATGGAACAGTACCTGAGAAAGAGAGCACGGCCTGAGTATAAGAAAAGCAAGCTAGGCCAGCAAGATGGCGCCGCAGGGAACCGTGTTTGATGTACAAGCCTGACCACCTGAGCGTGATTCCAGGCACAGATGTGGCTGAGCACATCTGTAATCTCAACACTCCCACCACAAGATGGGAGGCAGGGAGACAATCAGTTAGAAGCCCAAGGGCCAGCTATGCGTGAGTATGACACAGCAAAGGAACATGCTATGAATGCAAGAGAGATCCCCCCACCCCAGCAAAGTGGAAGGTCAGAACCGACTCTCAAAAGTTGTCCTCTGGTGTCCTTGACCTCTCTGGTTCCTTCAATCCATCCTCCCTCAAAACCAACTAACCTGAGCCGACAGAGACTCAACCACCAACCAAAGAGCATGCGTGGGACAGACCTAGGCCCCCATACGCATATGTAACACAAGTGCAGCTTGGTCTCCTAGTGGGTTCCCTAAGAGCAGGAGCAGGGCCTCTCTCTGACTCTGTGTCTGCCTCTGAACCTCTGTCCCCTGACTGGGCTGCCTTGTCTGAACTCAACAGGAAAAGATGTGCCCAGTACTACTACAACTTGATATGACAAGGCGGTTTGATGTCCGTGGAAGGCCTCCCTGTATCGGAGGAGAATGGGAAGGGGAGGAGAGATGGGATGAGAGAGGGAGGGACTGGAGGAAAGGAGAGAGGGGAAGCTGTGATGAGGATATAAAGTAAATAAACAAAATAATCGGAAAATAAAAATAAATAAAACAAAAAAACCCTAGCCTCTGACCTCCATATGCAAATGTGGAACATATACTACATACATATACCACATACATACCTACATACACAGGAGAGGAAATCATGCAAGCCATCATGGTTGCTACCCACAACCCCCTAAATACTCACAGACAAGCACAGGCCTGTAGCTGGTGCTGGCGAACTCCTGGCAGCCACTGTGAAATAGTCCACTGACTAAGTGTTTCAGAGGAATGGGCTACAACTCTGTGCAGCTGCCTTACCTCAGTGGGTAAGGCAGACTCATGGGCCCAGTGCCTGCTTGCTCAGCTGCAGAGCTCTAAGCATCCAGGGCTGGTGCTTTTTAACTTCACAATTAAGTTAAAATTAATTTAAAATGCCATCACAGCCACAGCAGCTTCTCAACCAACTCCAGGGGCCCTTCTCTCGGCGGGAGTTTCTTGCAGCTGTCCACACCACGCACCCAGGAGTCCTGCCTGCATCATCCCCTCAAGTGCACAAAGCCACCTGCAGACCAAGAGGGCTTCCATCCATCCTGGGGATTGTAATGCAGCCCACCTGAAGGTCATGAAAACTGACTCCTTCAGCCTCTGGTTGACTCTCTAATTCTCTTCAGCAAGAATGGTGTAAGAAATGTGAGCTTTCTCCAGTACAAGGCACAGTTTCTCCTCTCGACCTTTTATTGCAGTACTGGGGCTCAAACTCAGGCTCACACACAGGCTAGGCACACACTCTACCCCTGAGGAACGGCCCCAATCCAAACCTAGCCTGAACAGACACCTCTGACTCAGTCCTACTGTACTGCTGAGGAAATCTTTCCTGATTCAGTCAGACATGGAAGAATTGCCCTAAGGAGCGGAAACACCTAATTCAGAGGTCCCAAGGGAAGGAGCTGGTAGGAAATAAAAGGCCAGCATCCTTGGTAGGTTGGTGGGTTTGGGCTGGAGGCATGAGGCTGCCCTGCTATGAATCATGTCCGTATATATTGCTGGGAAGTCACTTACATGATTCAAAGTTTCCGTGGGGCTTGGGGAAAAAATAATGAGAAACATCTGTTGGAGAGGAAAACAGCTGCCCCCCACCCCCAGTGTCAGCACCCTGAGAGGATGCCGCTCTGGGAAGGGCTCCCCAACACCTGCTGTTTCCCTGCCCCTCGTCAACCCTCCAAACACCCCCAGCAAGCTTCCTCCAAACAAGAAAGGAAGTCATTACTGGAAACCTCACTTCTTCCATCCCAGAAGCCACGCCTGTCACAGCAGGACACTGCTTTGTTTTCTTGAGAAAGGCAAAGGGGGCGAGGGGAGGTGGGGGGACACACGGACCATCCTTGTCTCCCACGTGGGATTACGTTCAGACCTCCCCAGAAGACACAGCCAAGGCTGGTGTCTTCAAACCATGGATAGGAGTTGGGGCTCAGTAACAGAACCCCCTTAAGAAGAATCTGGCACATCTGAGAGGTATAAGTGGCACTAGCAGAAATTTCCAGAACCTAAGAAGCAAAACTGGGGTGGCCCGTGCTTAGAGATGGGGGTGGGTTTTGAGACACTCATACAAGCCACCCCGCTCCGAGCAGACCGATGGATGACAGCTTTCTTGTTTACATCAACATAGGAAAAAGACTGGTAAGCTGGCACGCAATCATGGCTGAAGATGCTTCCTCTCCAGATGTCTGCTCCACAGTTCAAAGCCGGCTGACTTTATCCTCTACAGACTTGCACAGACTTCTTGCTTCCCTTTCTTTCCTCTATGCTACCCTGCTTTGCTACGCATTTGTTGTTTTGTTACGCTTGGGGGGTTCGTCCTGCACAGGATTATCCCCAAGGGTACTCTCCTGCACCCCAACAGGTATGAGTCCTGCACAGCTTCAAGTCTCCAAAAGCAGGGGCCGGGGAGGGAGTGTCAATCGTTTGGTGATAATCTTCACCACTAGGGGCCTCCCTAAGAGAAGTGATGGGTGTTCAAGTTCCCTGGAGTGCCCAACTGGTTATGGGCCACAGCCACCCCATACTGGAAGGCACTATGCAGATGCAGACGGACTGAGGAAACTGTCCCTTCACTGCCAATATCTCAACCTGCTCACGAAACACATGACTTAATCACTCATGGTGTCACCACCTTCAGCTTCCATCTTGGGAGTCAGGAGAACAGAAAGCAGGTCACTAGGTTCTGGGAAGCGGACCCCTCCCCTCTCAGGCTCTCAGCCCTCTCTTCGTGGTTGCTCTCAGCGCCTATTCATACACCCGTCAGTGTCAGATGCAAGAGGGGAAATATGCAGAGCATGCGGCCAGATGTCAGACGCTGTGGGTTTGGAGCATCACAGACACAACCTTCCAAGAGGGAATGAAGTAGGTCACGAGATCAGGGACATGTGGCCACTGTTTCCCTTATGCCTTTCAGCCCCTGGCACTGGGAGGTGGGTCTAAGCTGGTTCTCTCTTCAGCTCTGGGCTATCCTCGCAACACAGAAATACCAACTGCTGACAGGCGTTTTGAGTTGACAGCCTAGGAAGCTCCTTGGGCTTCTAGAAACTGGGATGGTTTTAAACCAGCCCTTCGAAGTGAGGACACAAATTGCATTTATTAAGAGGTCCATGAGTTGGAGAGATGGTTAGGAGCAATTCCTGCTGTTGCACAGTCCTGGGTTTGGTTCCCTCACAACTGTCTGTAACTCCACTTGCAGGAGATCTGATGCCTTCTGTTGATGACTCTGGACAATATATAAGAGCACACAAACACACACACTCAGGCGCACATGATAGACACAAACTATTTAAAGAGGTACGCACATAATATATACACAGGTGGATGGATGTGTGGATATATACAAAATCATTTGTTTTGATCTTCGGGCTTCCTCTAAACTATCACAAATCCAAGACAGTTTAGTCTCTTCATTACAACAGTTTAGGCTGACCAGAAAAGAACAAACCCAAATCCGTGGCCATCAACTCGCCCTGTCCTTAAATTCCAGAGCAATCTTCCTACCTGCACACTAGGAGAAGCTGGTGCTCTGGGAGAGCGGGCACAGAACCCACCTGCTGCTACCTTAAAGATATCATCAGAAGGGCCCAGTAGGCAGTAAGCTGGCTGCCTCTTGCTAGATCACAGAGCGTGGTAAGAAAGTAAACAAGCCCCCACTTGTACCGATACAATGTAAGTGTTCCCCCTCCCCCTTCCCCCCAGTGCTGTCACGACTTGAATCTGTTTCTCCCCCCTGGTTCCTGGACCTAACCCCAGGGAGTCGGCACAAACTGGATACTAAAGGAAGGCAACGTTCTGTCCAGGAACAGGAGTGAGCACACGAAAGAGCTGGCATGCACAGGAGGCCTGATGGTGTCAAGAAGATCACTTCCCACTTCCCGGTGACCCTAATTACGCTATTAGTAGCCATGGCAATAAAGACTCAGGAGCACCTCTCCATAGAAATCTTGGCTAATATTGCCAGGGTCAGAGCTGCTGACTTCCAACTGAAGGCGGAAGCCATCTTCCTATTTCGTACTGATCAGAAGGGCCAGGCCTGGACAAGCTGCAGCTCTGCAGACACAGATGTTCTGGGGTGACCCACTGTTCTGGTCTGATCTGACAAGCCCTAAGTACTTCATCAGTGCGCGCAGTGGCCCACTCAAGGCCCAGGGAGTGGGCTGACCTAGGAAGGCTTCAGTAATTACCCGCCTCTGTGCCCATGAGCACAACTGGATCACGCCCACGTAACCCCCTCAAAGACATAAATAGACCCTTTGAGAAGTGTAGGTCTCCAACCGGAGCACTACATTTACTAAGGAGTCTCCAAGCTCCTCTATACTCCTTCTCTCTCTGACTTCCTCTTCCTTTTAGGAAAACACATGGACGTGACAGGGAAAGCCCAAGAGGACTGGCATTTCCTGGCTGCTTATTTGCTGCTTCAGAGCACTCTGAGGAGGGCACAGCAACAAGGTGACCCTGGAAAATAGAAGCGGAGAGCCATTGCCAAGGGCTGCTGATTCAACAACAGGCAAACAGCTAAAGTGGCGAATACCTGCAATCCCAGCACTCAAAAGGCTGAGGCTGTTGGAAGTTGGAGGTCAGCCTGGTACAAGAGTGTGTTTCAAAAGTAAACAAGCAAACAACAACAAAAGAACAGGATGCAAAGTGTGTGCTGAGCCCTCCCAGGGCTGGAAGAATGTTGGAAACAAAGGGACCTTATTTTCATTCATTCATTCATTCATTCATTCATTCATTCACTCATTCATTCACTCACCCTGTATGCACTGGATGCATGGCTACAGACGCTGTTAGGTACACAAGAACTAAAACCTGAACCCGACAGATGAGATCCTTGCCCCCAAGAGGGTTTCACTCTGGCTGAGCCTAGAACTGGACAGGTGTCTTGTCCAACAAAAATGTGCTGGATGCCCAAGCTGTCAGAAAATTGAATGCATGCAGAAAAAGGGAAGTTAACGAAGGTTTGCATACCTCTACCGTAAGTCAAAACACTAACTATAAACACAAATCTGGATTAACAGACCGAGTTACTCAACGTGGTTCACCTCTGCAATTCATCACTGGGGTTTTCGCACGAGGTCCGCACCAGCCATTGGCATGCATCGTGTGAGGGTGGTCATACGGATCAGGGAAGCAGGTGTGAGCTGTGAGACACAGCCCAGACACGAGTTTCCTCCACTTACCCTATGCCCTGTCTGTGACCTGCCAAAGAGCACCTCGGAGGCATCCAGTCCATCGAAGTTCCGATTCGGGGGCAGGCTGGCCCCTGCCAGGGCTATCGCTGTGGGAAAGATGTCTAATACGCTGCAGGAAGAACAGGACATGGTTTGCCTCAACTCCCCCAAATCCCTCCCTGGCCCTCCTGCGATCCACACCCCTCAGAACCAGCCCCCAGCAAAAGCAGGCCGCCTCTCCTACAGCCCACCTCGCCTGTCTCTCCTTGGGGTTCTGGCTGAGATCTTCTGCTACAAGAGGCAGGACGGGGCCAGATGTTCAACAGGCTCAAATTCAATTCTACCACCTACGTAACCTCCAGGGCCTCAGTTTCCTAATCTGGAAGGTGTATGGTTTAATAACAACCGCAGCCCCACGGGGTGGACCTGTGGGCAAAACACTCAGGGAAGACACGCCAAAGAAGACTGGCTCTTGCCTTTCTTATAATTACTAACAGGGTCACACCTTTGAACCCAAGATCTAAGAGTTGGCTGCTGTCTTATCAAGAATAGTGCGTGGCAGGATGGCAGGTACATGCAAGAAAACACTCACTTCCTTCTCCTTCGCCCCATTCTCTCTCGAGAGAAAATTTGGTCTTTAGGTGAAGTACGCAAAATTTTGGTTCTGATGTGTGGAACACTACACTTCCATCACTTGACTTTAACTCCTTTTTTTTTTTTAACCAATAAAAAGTAGAGAATGTTTTAGCAAAAAAATTTTTTTTCAGAACATATAAAAATATAAAAAGAAAAACACACAACTAGTCCATCACTTGAGGGTAACTACTGTTAATATTTTTTTAATTCAAATTCTTACTTGTGTGTGGATGTGTGTGTGTGTGTGCACGCTATATACGTGTGTATGTGTGCTTGCCCATATGTACCTGTGTGGAGGCCGGAGGTTAATATGAGATGTCTTCCTCCCTTGCTATACATCTTGTTTTTTGAGACAGGGTCTCTCACTATTTCAGCTTGTCTGACCACTGAGGCTCCAGGTTCTCTTCCCCTCCAGCAATGGGATGATAGCTGTGCCTTAGTGTCCAGCTTATACACAGGTACTGGGCATCCAAGCTCAGGCCTTCATGCTCCTGTAGCAAGAACTTGACCTACACAGACATCTCTGCAGCCCCACCCACTGTTCATATTTTTAATTGGTCTTGTTAGTGTGATTTTATTCATTTCTATTTCGTTTGTTTGTTTCTTAAGACAGTTTCATCTACCCAGACTTGCGTTGAATTCCTTATTCTCTTGCCTCCAAGGGCTAAGATTATAGGCCTGTGCCTTGTGAGGTTTTATTTATTTTGTGTATGAGTGCTTAGACTGCATGTACACCTGCACACCAGAATAGGATGCCAGATCTCATTATAGATGGTTATGAGCCACCATGTGGGTGCTGGGAATTGAACTCAGGACCTTTGGAAGAACAGCCAGTGCTCTTAACCACTGAGCTGTCTCTCCAGCCCATGATGTTTTCTTAGTCACGTGGAACGTCACCACACTTCTTCCTACCTTCCACAAGCCTCTGTGCTCATATCACCAGGTGAGGCTGAGTTGTCAGGAACTGCGGAGGCACAGAGCAGTTCATACCAGAGCCAAAGGAACTGAGAGCCAATGGGACTTGTCAGAGCAGGGGGCTGGGCCAACATGAATTCTGTCACCGGTTAGACCTTCCCAGGAAAGAGGTCCTGGTTCCCAGAGGCTCAAACAGCATCACAATTCAGGATCATGGGTGGGAAAGCCCTCAGGGTAGTGTCTTCCCAACTTCTCCAACCTGAGTTCCAGGGAGCAGCTCTCTGCCCTCCACAGAAGCTGCAGAAAGGACCCAGCACACATGTGGCATGTCTCAATCCCCTCTCCAGGGCTCTGCCTATGACCTCAGGCAGACTTTCTTGTTGACTTCGGGACAAAGTGTTTCTATTTGCCCGTAGCTTTCACAGTTCACAAAACTGGTAGCTTATCTCTCGAGATAGGCACTCCAGGAGCTGGCAGCCCACACTGGTGCGCAGTCAAGGCATGCAGAGTCAGCACTCCACAGAGAACAGAACAGTCTGGAGACCTGTCCAGAGTCCAAGGTCCCTGCCACAAACCAGGAAACACAGAGGTCTCTCTCTCTCTCTCCCCTAAGAGGGATCATATGAAATCCATAAGCAAGAAAAACAATAGATATTTTTAATGTCTATTTTTAATTTGATATTAAATACAGTTTTAATTTGTATGTGTGAGCACATGTGCACACCTGTGTGACTGTGTCTACACAGCTGAATGCACATACAGAAGCTGAAAGAAAGAGCTGGGTGTCCTCCCCTATCATTCTCTGCCTATCCCTTTGAGGCAGCGTCTCTCCCTGAACCTGGAGCTTGCGTTTTCTCTGCTAGTCTGGAAGCCACGCAAGCCCTAGAGATTCTCCCCATTCTGCCTCACCCTGCCCGCCTTGGAGCTGGGGATACAAGCATTCATAGGACATCCAGCTTGTTGTGTGTGTGCTGGGATCTAAAAACTCAGTCTTCTTGACAAATCTGAAATGGATTGGCTTGGGGAGATGGCTCAGTCATTAAAGCGTTTGCCTTGCAAATACAAGTGTTTTGTTCCCATCTAGGCAGTACTCCCAGCACAGAGGAGGTAGGAAGTGGGTAGATCCCTGGCTCTCACTGGCCAGTCAGCCTAGCCTAGCTACACACACACACACACACACACACACACACACACACACACACACACA